TGTTTACATCCCTGTCTCAGAGTTTCTGCTCCCTCCAGGAAAACATAATTCCGTCATTATTTTAGTATGTGGTCTTTGCTGTTTCCCATTTCAGCATAAAACACTTGGTAGCACAGTAGATGAAAGGCCTGTCCTCAATTTTAAAGAAGAGTAATTAAAAACACCAGATCCTGGGGGTACRATGTAAAGATCTTATACTTTTGGGAGAAGCCAGAAAGTACTCTTAAGACCTTTGAAATGAATTTATCCAGAAGTGCTGTCAACTTTACAAGTGGTCATATTGTACATATTTGATTAGTGGGAGCAAATTAACCTCTGGTTTATGTGAAATGTTCCCTCTAGATACAAAATGCCCAAGAATGAAGGGGCTGCTGGAGAGAAATACCCAATGTTGTATTTGCTATTTAAAAAAAAAAAAGAAAAAGAAAAAAAAAAGAAGAAAAAAAGAAAAAACAACACAACCAAAATTTATGCTCTTCATTTGTCTTCAACTGTAAATGACTTTGCTTACGTCAGTCCTTACTCATGTTAGTGAGATTTGYGCATTAACTTAGTCTAGAAATTGAGAATAAAAGTAGGTTCCTTGCCTCCCATTTTACATATAGAGTGTGATTATACACAATCAGTCTTGAAAGAGGGAGAAAAACAAAGAACTAGCCTTCAATGATGTCTCTGGTAAACCCACCAAAACAAGGACAATAGTCTACTGCATTTCTAAATTTATGTTGGAATATTGTACTTTAGAGACACATGACTGCTGGGACTATTTACACTGACAAGCAGAAGACTGATGACACAGCTAATGGCAATTAAATTATATATATAGGCATTTATACCCCCTCTTCCCCTTCCTGTTCATTTAGAACTGCTTCCTTTTGTTCTGCAGGACAATGGGGTGGGTTTGCTTTTTTTCTTGGTCCCATTGGCATATTCTGGGCAGCTGATGTTTATCTGGGATTATGATTATACRGTGCCTTATTGTCTCCTAAGTGTTTTATAAATGCATTAGGATAAATCAGCATATTGGGGAAAAGGCTGTTCTGCAACTGATAAACCATGGCATTTCACAGAGATACAAGGATTTGACCATGTTGTCTACAAATGAACACTACGAATGAATTTATGGCTTCAAAGAAAACATAATAGCTAAGCTAAAAATGACTGCAACTGGCATCAGTACAGAGGGGATGTGATTTATACTGAAGGTTCTCTGGAACAGGGATTATTTCTGTATTTTCTAGTGCCTTATGATTATCACCAGAATTCGGTAACACATTTTGGGGTCCAAAATGCTCTTCTAATAATAAAACTATCAGAGAAATAAAAGGACCTTTGAGTTCACAGTCAGAGGATCTCTGCTAAAGAAATATTTGGGTGATGATTCGTTATGACAAACGACTACAATGAGTAGTGGAGGCATGGGCTACAGGAAATAACATTGTCCAGTTGTTCCAATACCTTAAAATGTCCAATTTCTTGTGGAATTAGCAGCCAGCTTCATTTATGGAAATCTGATATACCTTGTGTTTGAATTTTTGCCCAGAGAAGAAATCCCACAGTATTAGATACACATCCAACTCTTAAAGTGATGCTGCTTTCTTGCATCTCCAAGGCACTAGCTTCTCTCTCCATGAAGCAGAGGGCTGGAACCACAGGCTTAACAGCCTATGAAATAATTGCAATGCTGGGCACACTCATCCACTGCACTGCACAGACACATGAAAAGACACATAAAAATCCCAAAATATACATCAGACACTACATGCATAGAAAACCTATAAAGGTCTGAGCTAGGCTAGAGTCCAGTATGTGGCAGTATCCAGCAGAATCTGTTGTAGGTCAGACAGGTATGAGGGTCTGTAATCCTCTCAAGGTCTGGTTGCCCTGAACAGGTTATATCTTACACAGAGCAGAAAAGGAATTAAAACAAAAGCAGGAGATCAGTATTTAATGTAGACATCTACACTTTACTCTGACGAGGCCTGACAGCCACGAATGCCAAAAATGTGCCCTGCTTGTATGCGAAGATCCTGGCAGTGTTGGTGGTTGTACATGGCAAAGAGGTAGAAGTGAGCTGGCCCAAGTAGTGTTTGTATCCATGGATCCAAATAAGGCCTTTTTCATTCTGGTCTCCTAAAAACTGTTTCAGCACTTCTGAGAACCAGGCCTTCTGAGAAAGTTTTACTGAACTTTTTATGCAGATGGAAACAAGTGAAAGCATTCACATTCAGAATGATGGCTTCCAATTTGAAGTAGGGGGTTAGCAAAATTAAATGTCATTTTAAGCATCTGTCTTATATCCTAGGGCCTTTTCATTATTTTTTTGCTGACAATGCAGCCTGAAATGTCAAAGTGCAGGAGGCATTGCTTCCTGTAAATAGTTTATGATAAGGACATAATTCTGCTTAGTTTAAATGACACTGCATTTCTGAACTGCTAATTGGCAAAGGACGTCTTGTGGGAAAAGTGATTTTCTATACTTACTTTTGGGAGTAATGACCACAGTGTTATGGGCTTTCCTAAAGGTACCTTCTTAGTCCACACTTAGGACTCATAGTCAGCATGTTCTTGTCATCTCAGACCACTCAATTGCAAAGGGCCTATTACCAAAACAATCTCAACGTCCTCTTTATCTTTCTCTTCCTATTCAAAAAAAAAAAAAAAAAAAAAAAAAAAAAAAGTAATCCCCAGTTCTCTTCTTTCTCTAAAGATTCTGTAGTGTGCTTGATTTCTTCTGCTCTCTAAAAACTCCATTGACAAGTATACTTTGCAGGGACCTTCTTCCAATGTTACATTAGTGTTTTATATAAATACAAGCATTCTGTGAGAAACAGATGAAGAATCTCCAAGTTAAGGACTAATGTCCATTGAGTCAGAAGCTTTATAAGAAGCTGATAGCATCCATAAATACCYTCAAGGCAGAAAGAGCAGAGAGACTTTCCCAGCCCTGAGACTGGTCTTTCTTCTGGAGGTAATTGCTGCAGTCAAATTCTATGTGGCAGCAGGAATCCACCCTTSTGGATCCACCCTCAGCATATGTATTGGGGTTTTGGTACCACCTTAGTACCTTGTTAGCAAACTCCTAATAGGCCCATAGCTACTGTGTTTACAGATACTGCTACTGGCCATGACTCAGAAAGATGACTCCAGCCCTCGTGGAAGGCACGAGTAGAAGACCCCCAGCCCTTCTCCCCTACCTTTAAACAGAGGAAGGATGCAGGAGCTTATGAGCTCCAACTCTTTGCTAAGAACAAAGAGAATGTGAACTGGATCCGAAAYAACATTGTTTGTGTGCAGCAGGGAAAGTGACAATCCAGTCCTTTATTCGGGACTCCTCTCCCTCATTCAACTAGTTTCTACCCAAAGTGCACAGGAACCAGTGTCCTAAAAAAGGGCAGATTATTAAACCTTTGCTTAGTTTCAAAATCCAAATGCCAARTGGGAACAAAGAGATTTTGTTTAAAATGTGTTTAAAATATCAATTGTCTTTGAAAGGATCTGATTAGCTCCACTCACTTTTATGTGGGTAATTACCTGCTTCCCATTTGCCTTGCTGTTACTCAACACTGTGCAAGTTGATGAAGTTGTCTGCTGAGTCGGGACACTGAGGCCCAGCCTCCCTCCCCAGWCACCACTGGAAAATTACCTCCCTATGTTTACCCTGTGGCTTGAGATTTCCTTCAGCATAAAATATGCTTGTGTTTAAATACTTAGAGGAAATTCTGAATGCCAGATACATATGACTGAAAACAAAATAGGCAAGGCAAAAAAGCATCTGCTGAAGGAAGTCAGCGGTGCGGGGAGCAGTAGCTATAACCTACTTTTGTACTCTTTTTAGTGGCATCAGCGCCTCAGCCCTAGCTCTTACTTGGGGATGCAATATGCACTTTTAGTCTGCTACCATCAGCTGTCTGATAAGAAGAGGTAGACTAAAAAAAACAGGTATCCTCCCCTGCATCATGACAMGCTTCATCTTGCAAGGAGGGAGGAGGTTATGGCAGCTTGTCACAAGACTTACATATACCATGGCGACACCAAGAAAGAGGCTTTTCTTTCAAATCCATTTCACAGGAAGATATGTTTCCCCTTCTGACTTTAAGAATATGGGCTGAGGAAGCTGTCTTCAGTCACATGAGCTTATAAAGAACACTCAGTGGTTTTCACTGAAAATTGCTTCTTGCTTGAGAAAGGAGTGTCCAGATAACAAACTATGTGGGAAGCATCTTATTGCTGCTGCCAAGAACCTGTTTTATCACGTGCAGGTCTTGTCACCTGCYGGCCTCTATTAACTCTTTCTGAACTGTAAGAGCAATTTTTGTTATGTGTTACTGATGAATTGCAGCTTGTCTTTTAGGAAGTCATGTCATTCAGCTACCACTGGTCCTTCTGTGCGCACAGGTTCTGTGTAACATATTGGCAAAGCATATTGGTATTGGCCTTTACTGTGCCTAAGCCCTAGACTCACTCAGGCTCCTGTTTATGACTGCTCACAACTAATTAAATCTTGCAGACTGGCCAACACGATGAGGTCTGAAAATGTGCTCRATGCATTCTGCATGCCAGACATATTGCACATCAATAATTTGCCTGTGCTTTAGCTGATGACCTCTTCATTGCCTGTGCAGTGGGTCCAAGGTGAACAGAACACATGGAGCTGATCTGGCATGTTCAGTTGACTTGCTTCCCAGGTTGTGCAATGCCCATTCCTGGTAACTCTGTAGATCAACACCCAAAGTAGGAGGGCAATAGACTGACGTATGAGACAGTCCTACCACTGAAGATGGTAGAACTTGGCAGGTCTGAGATAGCACTTTTGCTCAAAGGGTGGATTTCCATACTTTGGATGGTGAGATTGAAGGTTCAGCGCTGTGACTCAGCCAGGAGTTTAGGAGTAGAAATATTTGTGATGTCTGTTGCTAAGTGTTGCCCTGTAACAACTTTTAAGATAACAGCTGTGTTTCTGAGCACTCTGGGAGAAAGTTAGATCTCGAGGCTCTCACYGTGAAGTGGATGATCTGCTGGGAAGTCATATAGCTGATCTTCCTCWTGTTTTCTTTTGCCTTCTAGGTGTTCACATCCTCTGTCCTCATCCAGAAGGGAAGCCGAGCAATCAGTTAGGCTCCTGCAGAAAGCTGACCGCCCTGTCTTTGCCTTGGCTGTAGGTGTAGGACGCATGGCTGGGTGAAACTCTTTGACTGAAAGTAACTCACTGTCTAATTGACTCCTGCTGCTGGAATCTGTGAAGCACACAGCACAGGAGAGCTTTGGATAAAGTAGCTATCATTCAGTRCACCTTCCAGTTTGCAGGAAAAAATAAAYAAAAAAAAATCAAACAAAAAAGATGTGGATGTGTTCTAGCTACCTTAACAATTCAAGCCTGATTGTAATTAAAATAGCTTTAATCTTTCTGTACTATGCATCAGTGCCATGTTGACATTAACTTGACATMTGTGGTTCAGGGAATGATCTTGGTGAATGTTTACGACCAAAAATCTAACCTGTGTTTTCCATTCCTGCTACCTTAATACTTCTAAAGGCTCTTGTGGGAGATTTTCAATAGAGAACAGTACAGGCGAGAAAACAGGACCTAATGATCAAGAAGGCCTCCATGCTAGCACCCAAATCACCATAAGCTCCAGTGCTTTACCATATATGCCATTGATAGCAGCGGTAAAGGCTCAGATTTGACCCTTTAGAGATGAGATAACAGAATCTGTGCTGCCTTAATGGACAGATCCAGAATTTGATCTAGTTTTCCCCCAGTCCTGAAATTCTTGGCTTGGAAAAGCAAAGTAACAGGCAACACATAAGCAGTGTAGATCCACTGGAGAGTTTAGGCTGCATAGTTAATGTGAGCCTGAAGCTAATGTGACAACACAGATTTGGCTGTTATTAGCACTGAAGGACATTGAAATCCTGATGCAATAAGGACTGCGCTCTTGAGAGGTGACCTGTATCTAGGCTCTGGGGTGTCCAGCACATGCAGCTGTTCACTCTCTTCTCTCATATCTAAATAGCAGCAGGTATGACTACGTCAAATTTGAACCCAGTGCAAGCCAGGCAAACCCTTCAGCTATGTCTGTCATCTCTTTTTTATTTCCTCTCCTGACAGTTTGCTGGTGCAGGATTTAGAGTTGGCATTTAACTTTTTAGGCTTTTCAGAAGAGTTGTTTTTTTTTCTTTTTTAATTTTGGCTAAATACCATGTTCTATTTCTACCAAGCCTTGAAGCAATGGTAATTGTAACATCTGCAGGCAAATGCCGTATTCTGCTCTCAGTAAAATCCCAGACAATACGAATTGCACAGAGGGCTGAAGCTATCATGAAGGAAATATAGTTGCAAGAGCTTTGGAAATTAACCAAAGCCTCATGTCTATAAGGGATGATTGTTCAAATGTTTTCTTTTCAAATTATCACAAATCTTTGGAGAAACTTCTAAATACAGTTTTGTGATGCCAAACAATGCTGACTTTAAAAATGTGGTACAGGTCCAGTTCTATGTCTGTGGTTTAGTAAGAGGTATATTGAGCACACTGGGATTCATTCAATTCGTTTTGGGCCAATTCTTTTTGAGGTCTGTGGTGAGAAAACAGCTGGACTTTGAAACAATGTTTGTGGGGTAAAGGAGAAGGATAGGCCTGGAAGTGGTTACTGATATAGACCTGAGGTTAAAGAACCTGCTCAAAAACTCAGAGGATGTCTGCATCAGAATACTTCTTAGTTCAGGATTTTTCAGTCTGCTTTCTCTAAATTGAAGAGCTAGCRGTAGCATTCCCATGTTAGATGAGATGCTATGGAGATAAATATGCTGCAGAACTGATGATGCTTATTTCTTGGAGCAGTGAAGGACAAAGGAGCAGTGAAGGGTACCTGACCAAGCTGCTCTTAGGGGCATTGATCACAGCTTCCTATGAGCAAAATTGTAATTTTCTATACAACAGAGGTCTTCTTATGCTTCTTCTTCCTTCATGCATTGCCTTCGATCCCAAAATATTTGAGATGACCACATACACCAGTGATGAGCATGACATATATCAACATGAATAGAATGAACAAGAATAATTATAGACTGAAGAAGACAAAAGAGAGAGGGAACAGGAGACCATCCTAGGCAGATGTGAAAATAACAATGTGAGTGTGAAGTTATGGAAGGGACTGGGGACATCTATTCTTTGATACTACAAAGGCAAAAAAAAAAAAAAAAAAGAGTAGTGTGATCCATAGGGAGAAGCTGAAAAAATCAAGGAAGTAGTTTTCTAGAGGATGGGACTAAAGATAGATGATACTGTGTTTAAAGTACACATCTCAAAGGAAGGAGCCCCAGGTTCTACCCCTCCTTCTATTGCAGCACCATATGGTGCTTCCTCTCTTTCTTGAAAAAACAAGGAGACTGTCCGAAGTGGCAGCTTTTTAGGACAGACAATATTTTTCAGTGTGTATTCATGTGACTCCAACAGAAAGCTCTGAAAGGTATCTACGAATTGGAGTGGGTAAAATCTCCTCCGGGGAATGCAGTTTTATTCTTTTCTTTTTGCAGCAGGAATGGTGATGAGTTTTCAACCTGGTGCAACACAAAATATTTGTTACTGTCATGCACGGAATTGGCTTTGACTCCTGGCTCAAAATGGTCTTTCTGGCTACACTTTCAATTTGATAAGAAAGGGTGGGAAAATTCTCTCTCTATATATGTAAATATATCTTTCTATATGTATCTATACTTTTTTGTTGTTTTTGTTTTTGTAAAAGGAGGTTATTTCAGAAAGTCTAAATTCYTTTTAAGCTTCTGATTAAGGTCACAAATGGAGATTTCACTAGTCAGAATCCCCTTTGAATTTAGGCTTCAAGCAGATATTTAYTGTGCTGGTTTTATCTAACTTCTTTACTTTTTTTTTTTTAGTTGGTTTGCCCTGTAATAGGTGAGGTAAACTGGTGATGTTGACCAGGTGGTATCTATTCAGTTATGCTCTTTCATCTGTTTCCTCATTTGCAATGAATCTGGGTGGAGTGTCATTAAGGGCGAAGTAGAGCAACCACTATGTTGACATTTGTGTGCACAATGGCAGTTGTTTTCCTATTTATTTGCACACCCTTACTCAATGAGACATAATGCAGCACAAAAAAAAAAAAAAATAGTTACTGTGTTGATTACTACTCTTAGAGTTAATTTCCCAGAGGTAAGGTCCACATCCCAAACTTTTCTTGACTTTACAAATGAATTCCTGATGGTGGAACCTCACTGAGAGAAAGTGGAGTTTTAAAGAAAAACATTTCAGACATACTTTCAGGTCTATTGAAATCAAGTTCTCAGGAATTTAAGAAGGGTCAATCTGCTTAATAGATCACCCTGCATATAAAATCTGTTAGTGTCATCTGTTTAAAATGAGAGAGTTGACACTAGGTGAAGACTGGCGTTTCCTAGGTGTTTATTTGTGTCCCTTGCAAAGGTTTGGTTACCCTTTCTGGTCTCCATGAAAGAAAAGAAGAGGGAAAAAATCTGCCCTGAAAACTAAAATTGACTTCTTGGTCACTGTTTCTTTTTTTAACATAGTAGGAGTCTTTCAAAATCTTGAAAAAAAACAAACAAACAAACCAACTTCATATCACAGGCTGCAATTCCAGACCATCTTGTGGTCATGTTTGTACAATAAACTCATAGATAGCTAACACTACAATTGACACTGCAGGAAGACACAAGTTCTTTAAAATCAAATCCCAATGGAAAATAGAATCATGAACTGTGGATTTAGGGATCAGACCCAGACCTCTTCCCATCTGTGATCACATCTTGCCTCAGTTTTTCATATGAGGCTGTCTCTGTACATCAAAACATCCCTTTTCTGGAAGAATCGTAGAATAATTAAGGTTGAAAGAGACCTCTAGAGGTCATCTGGTCCAAAACAGCTGCATTACCTTGGGGAAGGACTCCAGTGTAAGTTTTGCCTATCTATTTCCTTCATTTTTTAACATTCTGCACTGCGTCTTCTGCTTTTCTAGTTCTACCCATCCCTTCAGCACTTAGCAGCTAAGCTTATATTGGTCTTAGTCCTTTTGCTGTATAGATCAACTACCCAGATGGATCATCCTTCCTGGCCTGAAGTATGCACCTCATGAAAGTCACAGGAATATGTGTATTGACGACCCTTGAATGTTGGTCATGGCTCAGATACATATCATATGGGAGCTGGGAAATACTCTTGAAATACGTAAGATGTAAATGATAAGACTAAGCCTTGACCTATGGTACTTCCTTCTTTGACACAGCTATACAGTTCTGAGAAAGCAGCTGAGTTTATATCCCATGCTGGAATTTTGAACAATTTCCCTCACTTAATTCAGTTCCCTGACATTGGTCAGTACTAAGCCAAATTAGATATGATCAACTATTTACATAACGTGTTTAATTCTAGTGTTATATGGCATAAAGTTGAATGATGAAATACAACAATTATGCCAAGATATATAGCATAGTATATTGCAGTTTTGAAATAAACCTTATCTGCAAAACCAGTCAGTTCTCCTGGGAAAGCAAATGGGTAATTAGCTTATGCATCTCTTTGGTGTTAGTAAGAAATCTATAATGTCACCATCCAACAGTGAAAAAGCTCAGTTTTTATCCTCTTTTGTTAAGTCACTTATCAATTACCAAAGCAATGTTCAACAATGCTTTGGAATATCTCTACAGCTTTCTTATGTTTTTCCCTGCTTCAGTGACAGATTAGTAAATTTTTGTGTGTATATACTATTTTTATTAGTTAACATTTTACATTGCCTTAAGTACATTAAACTAATCTTGCTTCCAGGACCATATCCGCTTTTACTGCTACAATCTCTCTCTCTAGGTGATGAAGTTTCTTCTTCTGGTACTTGATTTATTTGTTGATTAGTTCTTCCCTTTTACTAGAGGACGTGGGGAGCAATTACAACTCATCAAGTCAAAGGCAAGGTCTGTTTTTTATAAAAGATGCATTGTTCTCAGAGTCAAAAACTGCATGTACTCTCAGGTGGAATAGTGTGGGGTGCGATTGCACTGGCAGTATATTGCAATCCCAGGAACCCAGCACACCCTGCATATAGATTTGTTAGACCTCGTGCATGGACTGACATGGTCACTGAAGGTGCTCTGTGAAACAGCACTGGTTATCTTGAACATATTCATAGCAAAACTTAAAATAAATTAAAATAAAAAGGTCTTGTCTCTGTTGGTTCTGGCTTTTCCCTGCACCTGRCAATCTGCTTCTTGGACTCTTTCAGAATGTGGGTCCCAATGTTCTTGTGTTGGGGTTAGTTTATTCCTGAACAGCCCTACAAATTAGAGCTCTCACTTGTTTCTGTATCATATTAAAAGTACGGCCTAAGACAGATGTTGTTAAGGTCTAATTGGCCCCAGCAGTTTTTGAAAACATTTTGGTACAGCTCTTCTCCAGAACTATCAGCAATAAAGCAGCCAACAAACTGGTCATGGCCCTGAGCAACTTTCTCTATCTTTGAAGTTGTCCCTTCAAAGGTGGGTTGGACTTCCAGATGACCTTAAGAGTGAGTGAAATTCCCATGTATTTATGGTGAACAAAAGAATGCAAATCTTGTGCAAAGCAGGTAGAGATGACACAGTAGTGAGACTGGGCTTTAACCCAGGTGGCTTGCTGATATTACACTACTGCTTGTGGTGTTCATCTTCCTGCAATTTCCTTCCTGATTTAATCATCATTTGCAATCCAGTCTAGGTCAAGATCCACATTTGGGCATAAAAAGAGCTGAAATCATGCTAATACACAATGTTTTCATAAATTGTCATTCTTTGGGAAAGGAATCCCAGTAACTAGTATTCAGCGAAATGGAGTCATGAGCCACAAAGAATGTCTTTGTTGTGAATAACAAATCATAGCATTAGGCTTCGTTGAAAGCTATTGAGCAACAGGTGAAAAAATATCCATTAAAACTCTTGATTTTTTTTCAATTAGGTGGAAGATGCAGATAAAAAAAAAAAAAAAAGCAGTACTGAGCTCACAAAATGCTGTGGGTCTTTGCTTAAGAAATTGAAAATACAATTTCTGCATGGATAGAAATGCACTCAAGGCCAAAGTAACTAACTGAGGAAACTGAAGTTAAAAACACTGATGCACATGTTGCTTTGCTGAGAGTGAACTTACGTCAGTTGTCTACTRGCTAATTGTATTTATTTCATGAGAAGACCTACTGTCCCTGACAAAAAGGAGAAATGACTAAATGCAGATGCTTTCTCTATTTTTTTTTTTGTTCCAGCAACTGAGTTCTAGCACTCCTTAGCTATCATTACCATTACAGACCATTTCTCCTGCTTGAGGTCGAGTGGTCAGATTTATAAGCAAATGATACCAATGTAAGCCTTGGCTGTAATTCCAGATCACATTCTGCTCTTTGTATAGGTGAAACTTCAATGACTCCATTAAATTGCAGTAGTTTTAGGTTAGGTTCCAAAGTATGAGCATTTGTACTTCCTTATGACTTTTATTTTTTTTTTTTAAATTACAAGAGTATACATTTTTTTTTTGCAGAAAAGGACCTCAGGATTTTGAATATGTTTACAACGAGCATTTCACACCCTTACTGAAAAGAGCTACTTGCAATGACTGTTTAGGGGGCATAACCACCTCTCTGATGGCATTGGGGCTTCATAATGTATTAAATCCTGTCAAAGACTTACAAGAGTGTGCTGTAGAGAGAGAGCAGTTAATTAATATTATTTTCATATATGTAATTAATATATGTTGTGCATGCACAAGGAAATCCCAGATTCATGCAAAAGCTAAGCAATAAAAAAATTCTATATAATCAAACCAGGTAACTTAGGAAAAAAAAGCATTTGTATTAAGGGTTAAGGGTTATAASAGGTGCTTACCAACATCCAGTGGTGATCCTACTTTTAGGGTTGGCAGTCTCCTGGCGCTGTTGCTTCTATTCCTGATTTCACTGTTGTGGCTGGTTCTGGCAGAAGGTTTCTTTAAGATCTCCTCGATAGAAAAGGACAGGCTGGGCTTCTCCTGGCTGGCACACTCCTGAGGGTCCGTCATCTTCATGCCAAAGTGGCTGCGGGACAGAGAATCCTCTACTGCTCTCTCTGCCTTTGATACATTCCGGGAAACATCCATCAGAGAAGGAGTGCTTCTCTCCCCACTCGCATCCTATATGGGTGCCAGGAGGAGAAACAGAGGCAACGCACAGGTGAGGACACACATGTGTCTGTTGGCCAGCTTGGGACCAAGCATTGCGCTCCCGTGCCTGACAAAATAGCATCAGGAGTGGGGGAGTGAAAGGTCTCACCAACCCCACCCTCCCCTGTGCAACCCCCAACCTGTGCAGATTTGCAGAGCTCTGAGCAAKCACGCCGTCGTTCCAGGAGGAGGTGCATCCCTCACAGACAGAGGCTAAAAATGTCCTGGAAAGAGCTGCTACATGTTGGCAAATCCTGTCCTTGGGGCTACCAGCTTCATTTCTTTTTTGGATTTCATTTGCTTTTATAATATYATGAACTTAAAAAAAAAGTTGTACRACAAATAATTGTCCTGTGYTGGACAAACTTGTAAGCTTCTCTCACATCCTGAGAGACATCAGGAAGGAGGAAGAAACCTCCRTCACCAGTAACTCCTAGGTTATCCTTTGGCCACCCCCACAGCGGTTAGCTTTATTTCAACTCTCCTTTCTTCCACTCTGGAAACCCTTTGAACTTTCCAAACGGGTGCTTTTCAATATCATTACCTCTTGTCAGTCATAGGAGATAAAGAGAAGCCCCCTTGCAACACACTTAGGATCAGGAGTTAGTGCTCCGTACCCTCCTTCCTCTTCCTTTTTTTTTTTTTTTTTTTCAGATAAAACATCTTCTTTCTCCCCTACACTGTTTAGTAAACCCACATGATAATCATCCCACAAGTTGTCTGCATCTCCCAGTCAGGCGTCTGTTGCAGAGGGAGAGGTTTTCCTGGATAACACTAAAGAATGCCAAAGATTCTTCTCCTGGGCCATTTCTATCTTCTCATTAATTTTTATTTTAGGAAGAATGTGAAGTTAGATACACTCCCAATCCTTCCCTCTCCCTGCCCCCCCTTCTTGTATTTTTTAATTCTTCTTGGATTGCCCCTCACCTTTTAAATTGTTACTCTTCTGTCTGCCTTCTTCTCCTGGTTCTCCGCTGTGCCTTGCTTATCAAGCTCTTATAATTGTATTGGCAGGCCCTGCCTTATTTGTCCAATGAACTGACAATTCTTGAGCTGATATCCCATCGTATGATCCCTCCATGGAGCGGAGACCAAAATTACTGTGTAACCAGGGGGCAATAAACCACACCTGATAAGATGAAAGGCTTTCAGCTTTTTCCACAGATTCCAGATACTGGAAAAGCACAGCATGTAGAAGGAATGCAAAAAAAAAGAACAATGAAAGAGGTAAAAAATGGTGTAGTCAGTCATACTGAAGAATATTTAATTATCTGATTTTATTAATCAAGCTTCTCCCTAGGTGACAGGGTAGGCAAGTTAGTGTCTTCCACATTGATGAAATGCATGGAATAGAGAAAGGGAGTTGCTTTTCTTTCTCTCTTTTGCATCTCCCTGCTCAGTGGCTCAGTAGTCTTTTGTATAAGGGATGATATTGTGCCTTTCTAGTTAAGCAATGAGCGGGCAGTTGTTGTGCGGGTGCAAGAGATCTGGTGGTGAGCAAAGTATACCCTGTGGATCCAGGAGATGTGCTGAGCTAGATGATGCTCTGGCCAATGGCATCGTCACCATCCTGTCTTGCTTTTGAGCCCGGCTACGTGCTGAGCCAGGACAGCTGCCTGGCCCAATGCTCTGGATTATTCTGGCTGGGCCCGTGAAGAGGTATCTCTTTCCATTCTGTGCTTAGTTAGAGTAGGGAGTGGGTGATTTGGGGGCTGAGAAGATTGAGAATGTCATTTGTATGCTGAAGGAGAGGAAGGAAAGATACTTTGAATCTATGACCTGGATGAAAATAGCCTTTTAAAAAGGAATCTCTTTTTTTTTTTTTCTTCCAGTTTTAGATTTGAAAACCATTTTCAATCTTTCCTATGAAAAAGCGAAAGAAGAAGCCTGGTAAAAACTCTTATAAATGACTTATTTCTACCGCTMGGCTTGCCTATAAGACTGAAAAAATGGACCATTCTGCATGCTTTTACCTGCTTCCTATAGAGTAATGACTTCCAATCTTATTGACGTCCCAGATGTCATGCGTRGAATGTCCTTGACCCAGCCTCTAGTGTATTAGTTTAGCGTATATGACAGTCTCTCGACTCTTTGATGTTTGCTATGCTACATTTTACTTGGATCTGTTCAGATACAGGGTAGCTCTGTGGACAGAAAGCCTCTGTTTTTTAAAAGCTCTCTTTCTGCTCATTTTTTTCAAGAGTTCACCATAGACACATGAGTGAAGCACATATCATGGATTTATGGGATTCACTCTGCAAGTGAAGCCCAGGAAAGGATCCTGCACTCGCTTTTCCCTGGCTGTGGAAACCTTTATCTTTGCTTTGTTATTAAAGCCTCTTTGTTTTCGGSGGGGGGGAGGGGTTCATTTCTTGCTGCGGAGGGAGAAGAGGATTTCAGAGAAAAAGGCTGATACATCCCCACACTCCTTATGAAAGGACTGGTATCTTTGGAGGTCACTGACTGGGTAAATTAGCCTAGAGACTCTCGGGGAAAAACTGTTATCACCTGTCCCTTGTTTGTGCTCCAGCTGCATTTTGGCTCAGTTAAATCCAGCCTGTATCCAAGGGAAGAAACGTAGCCTTCTGGAAGTTATGCGTCTGTAGATGTTCACATCATCTCCCAGAGAAATACTAGTGTTTCTGCATTAAATATACTCAAAGGGAAAGAGAGCTGAGGCTGAGGCACACTCCAAGTTTTCATTTGAGTGAAATGCCTTTATTCCACGATCACAATGACGACACCTAACAAGTAAAATCAGAGTGTATCCTCATTCACAGAATATGCACAGCCTGTCTCTATTGCTGTCTCAAAACTCTCTCTGGGAAGGCACCTGCTGAGACAGCATTGTAGCCCCTTGTCACAAAATCAAACTGTACATGTATATATAGCTGCACTGTCTTAGCTTGCGAATTTAAACCTCCCTTCTGCTTGCAGTGGCAAGTTGTTGTTCTATGTGTGTTTGAGTTTAAATGAGACGTGCACACACAGATTTATAACTTGAAAGCTTCCTCRTGAAGGCTTTATTTTTGTTCTGTCTTATTGCATTGTTCTTTTTATTAAAACTGAAGGCAATGCTGACTGAAAGATATATTTTTGTTCTTCTATATAGAAAAACACAACAAGCACTGAAGTAGGAAATATAGGAATAAGTGATGACTCTTGAAAGGAGGTTGGAAAGCAGCAGATAAAACCCATTTTTTTTGCATACAAAAGTTTCTTCCCCAAAAAAGCATATTTGATACCAAAATATTTACCAAACACTTAAATAATTTTACTTTTTTTTCCTAATACCAGAATAGTAAAAATGAAAAATGCCATTTATATTAACTAAAAAAAGTTTCTTTTTTTTGGAATGACTAGTACTTTGACTTTCCTGTCTTTGTATTATACTAAAATAAAGATGACTGATAAAAAAATAGAAGTAAGAAATGCAAATGAACATTTTGCAAATTAAAATAGCTCATTCGACCTCTTTTTTTTCAAATGATTGAATTGCTGAAATGTAACAAATTATTTATGTTCAAAACAAGAAATAATTTACTTTTAAATTACTGAAGAACTAAGTAGTTATTTTTTTCCCACGCTCTAATATGATAGCTTTTGTAGAGTAGTTTGGGGATATTTTTATATTTCTGCTTGACCTGGAAATGCAAATGACTCCCATTTGTTACAATTATCGTGCTACCTGTCTAATTTAGTCTATAAACTCCTTGAAGTAGAAAACACATCTTCCTCTGGGGCTACTCAGCTCTGAAGGCAACTCCTCACAGACAGGCAACTGTCTAGAAGAAATCAGTGACATATTCATTTTCTCAACTCATTCTGACTGGGTCAGCCAAATCTATAGGTCCACAAAAACCTCTGAGGCTTATAAAATACTTTCAAAAAGTRAGGAATCCTGGACAAGAGGACTCACATACATTTGGGAATCACTGCTTGTTTTTTTTTTTTATTCCATATTGCCTGTGTAGAAGAGAAAATGAAACGTATTTATGCTGTCAGTTGGGAAGTATTTCCTTTCCTACCCCACCAATCTTTTCCTCTGCATGAAAAGGATAATGGGATGAGATCCACCTGATGCCTCTGCTGTAGTGTCCTTATTAGTAAATGACACACAGTCATGCCTGGTGTGTATGCACAGCACAGAGAGCAGAGCTCCTAAAACCTCATCTCAGAGATGTGGTGCTCAGTGAGCTATGCAGAGCAAGTCTGGGAGCTCCATCAGCTGCGGCACCAGTGCTAGTTATGGTAGAGCTGTGTCCGTGTCACCTCTGGAGCATCATGTCCTTGTAGGTTGTTGTCCATCCTTTACGCCTTGCTGGACTCTGGTAGTCTCCCTGGTGACAGGTGCTCTGATCTTCTCAAAGTTCAACAGCTGGCAACGATCTAGCAGAAAGCCCACGCAGCCTGCCTTCTGGAGTCCTTTTAACCTTAGATTTATTAGCCCTGTTGTCTCTGCAGATTTCTCAACAAGCCCATAAATTAGGAATATTAATAAAAGGGACACTGTAGGTTTAAACTGATAACATTTATTATGGTTTTTATGGCACAGTTATTATCAATTGACATTTAAAATGGCATCATCATCCATCAAGGTGAAATGAATTCAGAAAGCTATTTCTCTGGGGCCAAAAATAATAACAGCAGCAGCATAAAGACTAGAAAAGAGAGAGCACACAAATAATTTGAGTCCAGGTCATTGATTGCATGGTCTGAGGATGGGTTTTAGCAACTTAATTCTCAACTTAATCTGTTCTTATATTTCATAATGCTTCTTCTCCTTACAGTTCCCTCAAGACTTTTATAGAGTTTTTTCTCCTATAGATTTTTTCCCTCTATTAGAAAAACTTTAGTTT